ATAAAGCGTTCGTGGCGGAGGGGGCAGTGGGCGGGGCCCCCGCTGGGGCGCTGGGGACGCGGGGGGGCTTGGGGCAGAGAGCCACGGCGCGGGGGCCCCACTCTGGCGCTGAGGACGGGGGGGGGGGGGAGCGACGCGAAATAAAATGGTCGGAGCTCTAGACGCCCTGTGCAAGAGAATAAAATGGTCGGGGCGGAGGGGGCGGTGCGCTGGGCTGGGGGGGGCGACGACGACGCCGAAATAAAGTTGTCGGTGCGAAAGGGGGCGGCGCGCTGGGCTGCTCGCCAGAAGGGGGCAGGGTGGGGCGGGGTGGGGTGGGGGGGGGCGACGACGACGCCGAAATAAAGTGGTCGGGGCGGAGAGGGCGGCGCGCTGGGCTGCTGGGGAAAAGGACAGGGGGGGGGGGCGACGACGACGCCGAAATCAAATGGTCGGGGCGGAGGGGGCAGCGCGCTGGGCTGCTGAAGGAGGAGAGGGGGGGGGGGCGACGACGACGCCGAAATAAAGACGTCGGGGCGGAGGGGGCGGCGCGCCGGGGTGCTGGGGAGCGACGCATAGCGACGCGTGTCGACGCAGCGCCGAAATGAGGCGACGACGACGCCGAAATAAAGTGGTCGGGGCGGAGAGGGCGGTGCGCTGGGCTGCTGGGGAAAGCGACGCATGTCGACACAACGCCGAAATAGGGCGACGACGACGCCGAAATAAAGTGGTCGGGGCGGAGAGGGCGGTGCGCTGGGCTGCTGGGGAAAAGGACCGGGGGGGGGCGACGACGACGCCGAAATAAAGTGGTCGGGGCGGAGGGGCAGCGCGCTGGGCTGCTGAGGAGAGGAGAGGGGGGGGGGCGACGACGACGCCGAAATAAAGTCGTCGGGGCGGAGGGGGCGGTGCGCTGGGGTGCTGGGGAGCGACACATAGCGACACATGTCGACACAACGCCGAAATAAAGTGGTCGGGGCGGAGGGGGCAGCGCGCTGGGCTGCTGAGGAGAGGGAGAGGGGGGGGGGGGGCGACGACGACGCCGAAATAAAGTCGTCGGGGCGGAGGGGGCGGTGCGCTGGGGTGCTGGGGAGCGACACATAGCGACGCATGTCGACACAACGCCGAAATAAAGTGGTCGGGGCGGAGGGGGCAGCCCGCTGGGATGCTGAGGAGAGGGAGAGGGAGAGGGGGGGGGGCGACGACGACGCCGAAATAAAGTCGTCGGGGTGGAGGGGGCGGTGCGCTGGGGTGCTGGGGAGCGACGCATAGCGACGCATGTCGACACATATCGACAGATAGAGACATATATCGACGCACGCAGATCGACGCATAGCGACACACAGCGACACATAGCGACGCACACATGGAGACGCATAGCGACACACAGCGACACATATAGCGGCACATGAAGGGCACAAGGCACACAGCGACACATATAGCGACACATGAAGGGCACAAGGCAACTGGGGGGGAGCGACGACGACGCCGGAATAAAGTGGTCGGAGCTCTAGACACCCTGTGCAAGAGAATAAACACTGGCGTCTCTGATTATGCTGCCATCTCCTCGCCTCGCCCTGCCAAATCTTGTCCCAAATGCGGCGCGCGCCTGGCGTCGCGCCTATGCCCCTGGACTCGGGCCGGAGATGCTTTCTCCAGCTTTCGTCTTGGGGGTCAGGGCCGAAACGGCGGCCTGCAACTGGATTGGCATGCCTCCGGATTTCTCGGCGAGCTCCGTAAACGGGTCACGTGGGTCGCCTGCGAAAGCGAGAGGCATTGAAAATGCCTGGGGTGGAAGCCGTCCCAAGTCGAAACTGCGACGCGGGAGAACGCCCCGGCAGCGTCGGAGAGGCGTTAGGGATCCTGCAGGGCCAGTGGGATCCCTTGAGGGCCTGGCTGCACGCGGCATTTCGGCCTGGTCGTTGCTGCGCACCGCAGGGCGCTGAGCCGTTCCGCCGCGCGCTTGAAGATCTTGAAAGGCACCCCGGACCTAGGGTCGGGATGGGGTACCGCAGAGGGGCGCCAGGCATAGAGATCTTTGCATGACGTGTGGGCCCACTCAGCATTGCCTTGGGCTCCTTTTGTTGACCCGGCCCCTCCTAGCCCGAGACGTCTCTTGCTTCCCGACCTCCCTATGTATCAGCTAAGTGATGAGATATGCACGTCCGCAACCGCTTTCCTGACACCCGCGATGACGGGGTCAAGGGAGAGGGGAGAGGGGGGAGGTGCTGTTCAAGCTCTCGGCGAGGACCTCGGACACCCCGGATTCCGCTCGGGGGGGGTGCCCCAGGCCGTCAGTGATTAACTGGAGTTCGGCTGCGTCCGGCCTGCGCAGCAGGGGGAAAAACGGCCGCCGTCGCGGTCCCGCGCCGGTTTTCCACGAGGCGCAGCGGCGCTTCAAAGAGGCGGCTGCCTTGGCCCACTTGATAATGCAGCCTCGAGGAGGGGGCGTCGTCTCCGTCGCATCGGCACTGGCGTTCTCCACATCCCTGGCGAGGCCATGATCTCCCAAAGCAAAGACGCGCTGCTGTTCTTGTCCGAGGAGGCAGCGGATCGGGAGAAATGTCAGGGGCCCTGGGGCACGCAAATAAATACACACATTTTTTTGTTATTAAAAAAACCCTCATAATCTCTTATATGTTCTGGGTTGTCTCCCCCCCACTTCCCATATTTTCAAATATTTTCCTGGAAATCGACGATTAATTGTGTCTGTGTGTTTTTTTCCCTCCTGATGTTCATCCTGGATCTGGGCCGGCTTCCCTGCCGCCCCAAGTCTGCCCCTGGCGGCGTGGCCCAACGGCAGGCCTGGTCGGCAGGTCGGCAGCCGCTGTGGCTTGCGCAAAGCCGGCCTGGCGTGGCCCCCGTTTGTCTCGGCGCTGTTGCGCGCTGGCCGGTGGGGGGAAACAGCTATCACATAATGCTGTCTCTCTGCGGGCGCTAACAAACAATGCCGGGGTCGACGGGCTGAACTTTGTTTCGAAAGTGGGGCCCTCGGGGGGCCCGGCCGCCGCATCAGCTCGCTGCGCAAACTCATTGCTCTCTATGCGCATGGGGCCATTGTTGATGAAGTCGCCTGCCATGATGATGGGGATCTGCCAGCTCTCCCGGCATATGGCAGGCGTCTGTTTGTCTCATTCGAAGTGGTCATAGAACAAGCACCGCTGTCTCCAAGCTCAGACAGTTTTACTCTAACAGACGCCCTCCCAGGAAATTCGTGTCTCGGCCCTCTAAGGGAATCTCCAGATCCACGATGCCAACATCGTAAACATCACGCACCAGGATACAACTCCAGAAGAGGGGTCTCGCCTGAATTACAGTGCGCCTGCCCGAGGTGCTGCGTGTCATCATCCACGCCTGCTGCACCACGGGCTGGTCTGCGCGATGACCTGCTCAATGCGCAGCTTGGTCTCCTCGGCGCAGATGGCGCGCGTCCCCTCGCACCACTGCGGCTCCAGGCGCTGCTCCACGGATGCCCAGCAGCTTCCGCTGCTCCCGCTGCTGCGCTGTCCTGAGCCTCCGCGTCTTTCCGCGGTGAGCTTCTGCCGTTGGCCCGCTGGAGTTCCTTGGTGGTCGCGTCGTCGACGGGGCCGGCTTGCTGAGGGCTACGGATGGCGTCCTCCATGTGCTGGGCCGCCCTCTTGCGAGCTTCATCCGTGACCTCGTCGGGGCCGCTGCCGCCCGCGGGGGTGTCGACTGCTGCAGCGCCTGCTGCCGCTGCAGCTGCAGGCGCCGCCGCAGCACCTGCTGCCGCTGCAGCTTCAGGTGCTGGCTGTCATTGTGGAGCCTGCGACTGGTCCTCCTCCTGCTGCATCTGGATAACACCAACCGCTCGCGTGATATCTCCTGACGACTGAAAAACTTATGAGGGCAATTGCTCGCGAGAGGCATTGCGCTGAGACGGGAGGCGATGATCTCCTTCGACGCGTCGGGCATGAAGCCTTCCTGCGCCAGCGAAAATGCAGCTGCGCGCGTCGCCACCTGCAGCTGCGCCTCGACCCTCTGGATGTCCCTGCTGCTTACGCTGAAGCCTGAGAGGACTATGCCATGCCGCCCAGGCAACGACGCCAGCTGGCCGCCCAGCTGGCCAAGGGTGCTCTTGGCGTTGACCTATCTTCGCCTGTGTTGCCCGAACTTGTGGGTGATGCTCTGGGCCTGCATGTCGGAGGTCTTGCCCTCCAGCGCCTGCTGCTCGGCATGTTTGAGGACCTCGGTCGCGTCCTGATGCTGCTTACTGCCGTCACCCGTCCACTCCGTCCAAGAATGCCGCCTGCTTTTGGCCCAACATGATGGGGGTGTGCTCGCCTGCGGGAGCCGCTGTGGCTCGTTGATGCTGGACATGTTGCTGCTCATATCGGACTCAGTAGGTGTTGCGCCGCCTTTTCCCACGACCTCTGCTGGAGTCTTCCTCGGTGTGGGATCGTCGGGTGACGGCACGCTCGGCACGACCAGACTGGCGGGGTGGGCGATCCTCGTTTCGAACTCCGCCTAATGTACGCTGGTCGCGTTGCTGAATATGGTCTTTGAAATGCGAAACGCACTCGGTGCAGAAAGTATCACTTCTGCCGCTGCACGCTCTCTTCTGCCGCTGCACGCCGAACCACTGCACCCTTGTCTTGCACATGATTGGTATGGCCTGTCATGTTGATGGTGAAACACCACCGCGCCGATTCGATCGCACACAAAAAACCGAACAACACAGCTAGTGAGTGATAACCGCTTGGGCTGCGGTGGGCTGTTGGGGCCCTCAGCCGAATCGTTGGTAGAGAGCTGGTCGAGGCAGCCAAGCCTTCAGAAAAGGTTGCCCTTCTGCCTCGACCTCGGGCATCTGGAATCCAAACGGGTAACAATTCCGCCTTGAGCCAAAAAGGCTCCGGGGGGTGGTAGGAAGGGAGGAGGGCGGGAGAAGGGGGGGAGGATGGCAATGAGGGGGTGGTGCAATAATGATTGGAGGGAAGAGGAGGTGCAAGGGTAGAGCGGGTAGCGAAGGACAAACAAAAGAGGGAGAGCGGGCGCGCAATCCGATCCTTCGGGCGCAGGATCACCGGGACGTCTTTCCACCTGTCCGTTCACAAGCTGGCCAGTTGCACGGAGGATTCTGAAGACGAGGAGAAGGATTGTGAACGACAGAGAAGGAAAGAGAGCGAGGAGGATTATGAAGACGACGACGAGGGTGCGGAGGAACAAGGGACGGAAAGGACGACCAGGAGGAGGAGGGGGGGGCATCAAAGCCCAAAGCTGCTCTAGAGTGGCCCCGACACGGTCTCCCCACAGCTGCCTGGTCAAGTTGCTTCATGTGGCAGCCAGCCAGGCCGAAAACGGTCACGCAGCTGCCCTGAAATGCACTCGCTGGCTCAAGGAGGTGAGGGAGAAACACATCTCTCGACGCCCCCATGAGTTCGTTCGGCTCGCAAAATAGGAAAGACGACGAAAAGTGCAGCCCGTGCCGTTCTTCCATGGAAGCCGCCCAAGTGGGCTGGAGTGGTGTCGGGTCAGAAGATCACTCCGCATCGCCGATGCATTGGCGATGCCCTGGCGACGTCGGGGTGGAAAACGCAACGCTCTGGTCCCAGCCGCACGACGCATCGGCGATGCCCCCCCCACCCCTCCGTGTCCCGCCCACCCGAACCCCATGAGCCTACCACAAAATTTGCGGAGAACAGCCGCATCTTCCAATAGCAGAGACAGTGCCCTTAAACCTGCCAGGCACGTTCGAGGAACACTTCCTGCGAACCACAAAGAGGCTGTGATTCTATTTGTTGGGGCCTGTGTGCAAGCAAGGACGCCTCGCCACTGCTCGACCTCGCGGCCCCTCCCCCGGAACGTTCCCGTGCGCCCTCGCCCTCTCTCCCGCCCCCCCGCGTCTCCGTCATCCCTCCTGCCGCCCCATCCCGCCCCTCCTCCTCGTTCCTGATTCTTTCTCCTCGCTCGGCCGCCCCCCCCCCCCTCGTAAGACTTCTTCCACTTTCCTGAGCCCTTCCCTCGGGCTGCAGGATTCCACTGTCAGTGAAGCCGCCAGAATTGCAGAGTCCTGGCCCTTACAGGAATCATGATGGGCTCGGGTGGAGCTGACCTGCTGCGCTCTCCAAGCACGTGCTGATCCTCGTTCGTCCCTCCTCCGCGGCCTCTGCACCATGGGCCGTTGGGAGCCCGCGCCACTCGGCGGCCGCTTGCTCCTTCTTGGGGTCGAAGTCGGCGCCGGTCAGGATGGCCTTGGCCTTGAGCAGCCCGTCGACCTCGATCTGGCGGTTCTTCACTCGCACCGGGAAGTTGATCGTGAAGTAGTTGCCTGGTCGGGGCAGCCACGCGCGCCCGACCGCTTCAGTACGCACGTCGGCTTCGGCAACTACACGCACATAAAACCTCCGGTCCAACACACAGGTATGAGCATGCCTCAAGCTTCCACTCCCCAGCGAACCCCTCTTCTCTACAAGTCGATGCCTCCCAGATGGGGTCCGAGTACATGGGGTCGGGGGATGGCGCCGCAGCGCCGATGCATCGGTGATGCAGCGGCGATGCATCTGTGATGCATCGGTGACGCAGGCAATGTATCGGCGACGTCGGCGTGACGAAACTCGTGCTCCACATCGAGCCGCATCGCCAATGCATCTGCCACCCTCCGACCCCGTCAACTCGGACCCCATGTGAGAGGCTTAGAATAAGCCTCCTCATTCCCCCGACCCCCCCACGGACTACCTACCAGACCATCCCTACCCAACCCGAAGATCCAAATTTCGGGTTTGGGGGGGGAAGGTGTACGGTGTTTTTTCCATGTGTCCCGACGCCCCCCCACTGGAAGCAGAGGGGAAATGGGGACCTTCGGGTTGGGTTGGGCTGGTGTGGTCGGCGGTGACCCCGTCCGCCCATAAGCTGGCCTGCCACCCTCGGGCACCGTCTGGCACGCCTAGGCCACGCCGCCTCTTGTAATCAAAGGTCCGCCCCTCCCCGCTCCCCTCTCCACACTCCCCCCTCCATCCTTCCTCTTTCTCTCCTCCCCTCCCCCCCCTCTCCTCCCTCCCGCCCCCCCTCCCTCGACCTTCCTCTTTCCTGCCCTCATCCCCTTGCCCCTCCCTCCTTCCCCCCCCCCTTCCACCTGGGCTTGAACAAGGCCGCGCCCTGTGCGATCCTGGCGGCCCCGCACGGGCATGCGTTGTCACCCGAGCTCCCGCCGGCATGACTCTTCCATAACGTCGAACCCCCAGAGGGAAGACGAAGCCAGGACGAGGATAACATCGGTGGCTCCAGGATGGGGTCCTGAGGGATGGGGTCCTAAGGACGAGGTGCCCCAAACAGTGTAAATCCACCCTTGGACCCCCTCCTGTCCTTAGGACTCCATCCCTCAGGGTCCCATCTTTGAACCACCGATAAAATCGGGTGAAGATACATCGAGAATCTGAGTTCCGGCGGCTCTGGAGGGTATTTCGGGCGCCGCGGCCTTCTCAGAGCGTTCTGGCACGCTTTGAGGGCGTTTCAGAACGCTCTGCAACGGAATTATCCTCGTCCCCGCCCGTCTCCGGCCTCCCGCCGGCATGATTCCTTCACAAAGTCGACCCTCAGAGGTCTCGACCTACTCCCCGGGACCGGTCTCTCATCCCGAGTCGTTTGTTGACGGTCCCGACGCCCCGCAGGGACCTCCAAAGGCCGAAGATGGAAAAGCATGTCCGTCGTGCTTTCTGTCATGATTCGAACAGGTCTGGGTCGCGGGCTCCCGGCCCCGGGGGGGGTCCTTCCTGGGCTCTGGGTCGGTTAGATCAAGAGGCGGCCAGGGGGCGAAAAGCCTGCACACGGGAAGAAGGAGGAGGACATGTATCATGAGGAGGAGGAGGAGGAGGAGGAGGAGGAGGAGGAGGAGGAGGAGGAAAGGAGGAGGAGGAGGAAGAAAGGAGGAGGAGGGTAGGAGGAGGAGGAGAATGAGGAGCAGGAGGAGGAGAAATAAAAAGAGGATTGAACAGGGACCGACCGTCCCGGCATTCCTATAGTCCTACCACGAAATGTTCCTAGAACGCAAAAATGTTCTAATAACGGAAACAATGGTCTCATAACATAACCCGATGTGATAGAACAAGATAGACTCCGCCAGACATGCTCTAAGAACACTTCGTGGAAGCCACGAAAAAAGGTTCTTAGAATCTTGTTTGGTAGGGCTATAAGCGACCCAGGACGCTTCGCCACTGCTTGAGAGGAGGAGGATCGTGAAGAGGATCATGCGGAGGAGGAAGAGGATAGTGAGGAGGAAGAGGAGGAGGAGGAGGAAAGGAGGAGGAGGAGGGAGGAGGAGGAGGAGAGGAGGAGGACGAGGGAGGAGGAGGAGGAGGAGGGAAGGAGGAGAAGGGGGCGGAGGAAGAAGAGGAGAAGGAGCACCTGGGGCACATTGCCCTCGAGCTTCCTGTCGGCGGCGCCCCCCAAGGGGGCCGGCGGGGAGCCAGGCGGCCGGGCGTCGGAGAAGGCGGCGGCCCCTGCCTTCCGGGAGGTCCCCCCGCCTTCCCGGAAGGCCGCCCCCCTCCGCGCCGGACCCTTTTGGGGGCGCCGCCGACAGGAAGCTCGCGAGGGCAATGGGCCCCAGGTGCTCCTCCTCCTCTTCTTCCTCCTCCTCCTCCTCCATTCCTCCTCCTCCTCCTCCTCCCTCCTCCTCCTCCTCCTCCTCTCCTCCCTCCTCCTCCCTCCTCCCTCTCCTCCTCCTCCTCCTCCTCCTCCCTCCTCCTCCTCCTCCTCCTCCTCCTGTCCTCCTCCTCCTCCTCCTCCTCACGATCCTCCTCCTCCTCCTCCTCCTCCGCATGATCTTCCTCATGATCCTCCTCCTCCTCCTCCTCCTCCGCCAGACCTTGCCCTCGCGTGGCATCCCCGGAGGGCGCGTCGTGGCTGAGCATTTGATTTCGGAGGTCGGCAGGTCTGCGTTGGCGTGCGCTGGCCTCCGCTGGGCCTCCACCCTCGTTTTGCGTCCGCTGGCCTTTCGTCGTCTTCTGCCGAGGGCCAGATGTCGACTCCTCGATTCGTCGCAGGCGGGGAGACGGCGACGGACCAAAACAAAAAACGACGCCAAAACTGGCAACAGAAAGCGCGAAACAAACCGGTAAAACAACGGCTCTGTCGTTTGCAAGGCCCGATAAGGTCAAGCCCTGCTCCACCGCAACACGTGATCTAGAAAGTAGATTGTCAGCAACCTTCTACCTGCCCCAGATGGTGAAGAATTAAACAGGTTGCTGTCGAGCGGACCCCGATCGGCCGGAGCGGTTGAATAGATCGAGGCACACTGAGGCTGTCACAGCTGGGCTCCAGTCCAGCGATGCCCGCCAACACCTGGGTCGCAGAAGGCCGCATCAAGCTCAAAGACAAGGTGCCACATCTTCCAGCAGACAACATTCGACGACCCGACGCTTGCATGGGGGGGGGCTGAGGCTGACAGACCGCCGAGCTGTTGACCTCTTGTGGCCGCACGCGCAGGCTCGCCTCCTTGGACCTCGTCTGCGTGCTTCTGGCAACCGGCCCCACGAATCCGATGTGCTTCGATCTCGGAACTGGAGCTTCAGAGCTCCCGACCCTTCCCCTGAGGGCGGGCTCTTCCTCCCGAGGCACCGTTGACGGCCGCGGGGTCCGGCGAGGGCCCCAACAGGCCGAACACGGCGAAGACACACTGCGTGTGCACGTCGGTCGGACATTAAAAACAAAAAACAAAAAAAGCATGGAGTAGTGAGGCGGATCAAGTAGATCCGGTCCAGGCCTGCCCGCCCAGAGAAGAACAAAACACAGCAAGAGCAGATCGATTCTTGCAGTAGGAAGGCGCTGGAAGTATATTGGGATCTGAGAATTCCAAAACATTGACTTTCAACAACCGACGGGTTTTGTTTCATCAACACGGGTCTGAGGAGCGGCATTGTCGACGACCACGCTGGTGGATTAAAAAGACGAGGACGAACAGTAGCGACAGGAACTGGAGTGGAAGGAGCGGGGGGAGCAGGACAAGGGGCAGGCCGAGGGGAAATGAGGGGGGCGACAACGATGAAAAAGGACTCGGATCCATGGAAGTTGTCCGCGCTGGGGCGAGAGCGTCATTCTGAACGATTGGATCGGAGCGCCGATCCGAAACTGAGGCCCACGCTGCAGCGGGGGCACCTGCGTTCACGGAGAAATTCCTGGAGGTCCCGCGCGGCAGCGTGAGACGCGACTTGCGTCGGATCTTGCGTCGGATGCGTGTCGGGGCCACGCCGGAGATACGTCGATCGTCGGGCTTTCGCCCGAGCATCGCCGCGCAAACATCGCCGCGCGAACGTCGACTCATGCCTTATGGGGCAGACGTGCGGCTTAAAAAATGACAGCTATTGCGCGCTGCGGGAGCCCTCCAGTATTTTCCTCATAGCACTTTGAACCACCACCAACACTTGAATCGCAAATCATACATCGGGGAGACCACCTCCGTCGACGTCGGCATAGGACACAACAATACGCGGAGAGAACCGACTAGTTTCTGGACGGAGACGCGGGGAGGAGTGGAGAGTAGTAGTATTCGTAATGTCTTGTAATGTAGAGAGGGCGGGGAGGAGAGGTGGCGTGAACTGGAGGAGAAGGTATTTGATGCTTTGCATACACGTGCGCACACCTCGTGGGCAAATCAGAGCACATGCTTGGTCAAACCAGCCATGATTAGTCACGACTTCTGATACAGCCAGACTTATGCCAGAAGCTCATCCCTCAAGAACATGAGACCCTCCGTGGGCCAAAACAAACAGAACATCCAATGGCAATCTCCCCAGCATGCACAAGAACAGCCGACAAACACGAAGAACACTAGGGTACCCTCCCCGAACCGACCTCGATCTTATACCTCGGTCCGACTGCATATGAAACGCGGCACCAATCGAACGACGCACCAAGATACCGCACAAGATGCACCAGAGGCTGCCCCGGGTGACCAGGTGTACCAAATGCAACGCTGCATTGTGCGGATGAGATCGACGACCTCAGAGGCGGACAACACCTGATCTGAGAGTGTCGCCACCGATACCCCTGCTGCCGTGATAGCTGTTCAACGTGGGCCCCTGTGAATATCGTTTATCCGATCCCCATCCCCAGCGGCGTGGCCTGGGCCCCACTGGCCGATGTACCCCCTTAGATGGGGATCTAGGCCGTCCCGTTCGGGTCTCGGGGGGAGTACCCCCAACCGGGATGATAATTTGGTGGGGGTCTCGATCGAAGGGGATGGGGATAGGGACGAGGATCGGATAAACGAACTGCTGACCTTCCCCAGCGTCAGCTTCTCATCCTGGACAGTCTTGCTTGACGACCCCCGGGCCAGCGCTGACTTCTCGGACCCGGCGCTGGATCGCGCCGGGGGGCGGCGACGGAGGCCTCGCCAGGGGGGTAGGGGTCCAACGCCGACTCGACATCCGCGTGATGAGGAAAATTCGGGCCGGGCGAAAGGGGGGGATAGCAAAGGGGGGGTTTGAGAAACAGCTCACGCAGCTGATTTTCCCGGCGCCTCCCGGCGCCAGAGGCGCCCCTGTATCGAGGAATGGGCCCCTCGGCGGGGCCGAAACCAGCTGCATGCAGCAGATTTCGTAACCCCCCCTTTCCCTATCCCCCCCTTTCGTCCGGCCCGAACAAAAATCCTGGAGGCCCCGTCCGGCAACTCGAGACCCCAGGAACGTAGGATCCGCGTCGGATGCACGTCGGATATGCGTGGGGCCGTCGCCGCGCGAACGTCGTCCCGCATCTGACGGGGCGGACGCGTGGACCAGGTGGTGCAACTACTGCGGGGGCGCACAAGCATGGATCAGCGATCCATGGATTTGGCGCGCGGTCGCCATACAGTCGGGTCGTTGACCTAAGGAACCCTAAATATAAGGAACGAGGCCCCTTTTTCCCATTGGTTAAAGCTCGATTTCCCATCGAAAACCTAAGGAAAACCTAAGGCAAGCTGTGAAACAATCAAGGAACACGGAACCCCTCCCCAACGAAAAGGGTTCCTTCTTCAGCACCCTGACTGTATCCATGGATCTCCCCCAAATGCGGCCGGTGCCGCCGCCTCGTTCGGCGGCGGAGATCCGCGATTTCCCTTGGCAACGGGACCCGTCGCTAACCCACGCCCCCTTGATCCATGTTTGCGATCGCCTGACTCTTGCGCGCCGCGCGAGGCCTCCAGGATTATCATCATAGTCCGCGCGGACCTCCGAACGTTTATGCTCATGAAACTTTGCTATCCTTCGATTCCGCCGCACACCCTCGGTGTTGTCCTCGTCGTGTTGGGAGCGCTCCGGACAGCTCTGGAACGTTCCATCTCTCGATCCTCGGCCTGGTCAGAGTGTTGGTCTTTTTCGGTTCCTGAAGGGGCCCAGGGACACACAAACAAATTATACACAGTTCCTCGGATTCCCCGTATGCTCTCATGTCTTCTGGAGTTTCTTCCTCCACCCCAGTTCCTATCTTTTCCTACATCTCCCTGGGAGTCGACGCTCCATTGTCTGTCTTTTTGCTCCCCTCCTGCATTCCGCCGCGCACACCCTCAGAGTTGCCGGCTGCCGCCGACGGCGGCGGCGGCGACCTCGCGACGGGGCCGACGCCGAGGCGGGCGCCGAGTCGAGGCCGGTCTTCTTCGTGGCGCGCGCCCCCTCGGTCTGGGTGTGCTCGCCCTGCTTGCCGGCCTGCGGGCGAGAAGGGCCCCGCGGAGCAAGTGGAGAGAGAAACACACCGGAATGCCTGGACCGGCGGCGCCCACGAGGGGCGTGGCCCGCAGAAGCCGGGCGACCGTCCAGGCAGGCGCCCGGCCTGCACAGAAGCCCCGCCACTTTCTTGGGAAGCCGCCCCCCTGGCATGAACCTCCCCTGGGCGCCGCCAGCTGACGAATCGATTGTTTTCATTCGGGCGCTGTCTTTCGACTTCGGCGCCCGGGGGCCTCCCCCGTCCCTCGGGGCCACCAGACATGAATTTCCGAAACGAAGAACCAGCCCGGGGGGAAGGCTGGAGACGGCTGGTGCCGCCGATCGGGGAACACGTCGTCGGACGCCTGGGCGAGCTGGAGAGCTACGGGCAAACACGGAGCAGGAGGACCCCAGATCCCGCGCCGTGACCAGAAAAACGCGTCGTCCTGGTAGCCAGGCAATACTTGTCGCAGGTGGCCCCGCCCAACAGCGAGCAACGCGACTTCCATAGCGGTTCGAGCCTGTGGCCGAGCAGGCCCTGAAGCAGACTCCCACCGAGCAGCGGGCGGGAGGCCGACTGGGAGGAGGAGGATCCCGTAGGATTCCGCTACTCCCCCCATGGTGGGCCATGTTTTCCACCACCACCACTATAGTTGGAGGGGGAGGGGGTCCTTTTCCCCCTTCCCCCTCCTCCTCCTCCTCCTCGTCCTCCTCCTCCTCGTCCTCGTCCTCCTCACTCCTTCTCCTCCTCCTCCTCGTCACTCCTCCTCCCCCCCCTCACTCCTCCTCCTCCGCCTGCTGATCCCCTCCTGCTTGCTCCAATGCTGGGCCCGAGCCCTCGACGCCAGCCTTTGAGCGAGCCGTCTCGACTGGGCAGGCTCCGCGAGGGCCCCGGGGACCAAAATGGGAGGGGGGGAGGACCCAAACCCGAAGCGCTGTGAGCTTGCGACAACGTGGGCCCCCCAGAACTCTCGCAAGACGAGGCCAGGACAAGGATACATACGGGTGAAAATATTGCAAATCTCTGAGGTCCGGCGGCTCGTAAGGACGTATTGGGCGCCGCGGCCGTCTCAGAGCGTTCTGGAGAGCTCTGGGAGAGTTCGGGAACGGTCTGGACATGAATTTGTCCTCGTCCTAGTCCACTCCGATCTCGACCCTTTCCCTGGAACTGGGTTTCCGTCCTACGTCACCTCCAGCTCCAGCTGTTACTGCATCACCCCCTGGTAGTTCCTGATCCTCCTCCCCCCCGTTCCTCATCCTCCCCCCTCCCTCCTCGCTTCTCCCTCCTCCCTTGCCTGTCCCTCCTCCATATCCTTCCTTTGTCTGCTCCTCCCGCTGCTGTTGTTAAGACACAGCCGAGACACGACGCACTCTCCACATGCAACAAATACTACGACTACCAGGCGCTAGCAACGCGGCCGTACATCACCCGCGTCTGCTGGGCGGTGTGGGCTGCGCCCAGCGAGAGCAGGTCGATGCCCGCTGCTGCGAAAGCGAACGCGCGCTCCACGGCAGCCCTCCAGCGCGGCACCAGCCTGGGCGCAGCCCACTGGTCCCGCAGGGATGCAGCAGCGTGCGTGGCGAGGTGCTCCAGCGACCGGTGGGTCCCGGCAGCAAGCCGCCCGTATGACTCCAGGGCGACGGTGAGCACGTCGCTCCCGCACCGCCGCCTCTAACTCGCGCAGGAGACGGGCGAGGGCCGCTGCAAGCGCGCGGTGCGGTCGCATGCGCGCCGGCCCCTGCTTGCAGAGCTGCGGGTGCTGAAGTGTCGGGTCCAGCCGGTGGCCGCATGCCTCGTCCGAGTTACCGGCCTTGCAGTGGAGGCGGCACGTTGCCCCCGGCGGCGCGCTTAGGGCCCCCAGCCTGCGCATGGTTGCCACGCGGAAATAGGAGGATGGGAACCACTCCGCCGGCTTCGCGGGGAGCTGCATCCAGAGCGCTCCCGCGCCGGGCCCCCCAGAGGACAGCAAGCCTTCCCTTCGCTCCTGATCAAGCTCCTGCCGCAGCCGGGTGGCGCGCACGGCGTCCAGGTGCCAGAAGACGCGGCTGGCCAAGCGCCTGGGCGCCCTGGCGGGGACGCCGCCCGGCGACGGCAGCGGCAGAGAGGCCTCAGGGAGCAGCTTAAGCCCGCCCACGTCATCAACGGCAACGTCCTTGGACCACGGGCCCCCGCTGTGCTCGGCCCGGGCGTCGTCCGTGAACTTCACGCCGCCCTGGAGGTCCACGACGACACCAGCACCCTCGAGGCGCTGCTGGGCCGCGAGAGCATCGGCCTCGCCAGAACACGACACGCGCCCCAGTCCGAGCGCGGAAGCGAGCATCGGAACACGGCAATGCATGGAGCACCACGCTGCCCACAGGGCTGCGTCAGCCACGGCGCCCTCGCCCTCGCGGCGCAGACCCAAGCCCCCGAAGGCGCCGCAGAGGCGCATCTGTCGCAGTGCGCCTTCGTCCAGCCGCCGGGCGGCTCGGCCACTGCGCCCAGCACCGTAGAAGGTGCCAGCCGCGCGTCGTAAGAAAGAGCATGAGCAACGGATTTGGACATAAGCGTTCACGCCAGGTGGACAGCAGTGACAGCGGGCTGCGCGGCCGCGAACTCCTCCACGCGCCGCGCCAGCGCGGCCGCCTTGCGGGCCCTTGCGCGAGCGGGGCCAAGCAGCAGCCCGTCGCGCCCGACCTCGGCAGCGAACTCGCCCGACCTCGCCCTCCACGAGCTTCATGAGCACTTCGGCGCATGCGATCGGCCGCAACTTGCGCTGCGCTGGCTGGCCCGGCCCCACGTGCGCCCAGTCGCAGTCGACGGGCGTAACACAGGCAGCCGTCCAAAGCTCGATGTTTGCGTCCTGCACCCTGCCCTGCTTCCAAACCTGGGCCCACCGAGCCAACGCCTTGATGCCGCCCTCCACGGAGCCGACATTCTTGAGGAATGAGTTCCGCCATGCGCTTGGGCCACGCTGGGCGGCCTCGCGCAGGACGCGAAGCTTCCGCCGAATGGTGCGGAACTTCGGGGCCGAAGCCTTTCCCATGTCCTTGAGTGCCCGCTTGCACTCGGCCTCGACCTCGTGCATCTCGTCGCCGTCGACTGCCTCCGCGACGAGCTCGTCGATGCGGACGGCGGTGGCCTCCGTGAGAGGCGTGCGGACAGCGCCAGAGAGGAGCGCCTTTGCCGCCCGGACTGCGCCAACAGTCTGCTTCCCAGCTGCCTTCCGGAAGGCCTCCTCGTCCCGCTCCGCCACTTGCAGGCGAGACCGGGCCATGGCGGCGTAGGGGAACTCCACGGCGTCCGCGGGGCCGGGCGGAGGCTCAGACTCCAGCCCCTCCTCTCGCACCTGGGGCCGATGGCGGAGAAGGAGGGTCGGCGCCAGCCACAGCAGCCGGGAAGACCTGGCAGCCTGGGCGACCGCTCCACGGGAAGGCTGCCGGCTCGCAGCGCACTCCGAATCGGCGTGGGCATTCAGCAGGTCGCGGAGGACGACCCCGACTCTGCTACGGAGCTGACCCGGCGCAAGCTCCAGCGTCGGCAGTGCTAGGAGGTCCACGGCCTCCTCCAATAGGGAATCGAAGTCGGAGTTGGCGAGCACGTGGATGGCCCCGCGGATGTCCTCGCCTGGCCCTCCTCCTCCTTCATCTCCACCCCCACCACCTTCACCGCCTCTACCAGCGCCACCCGCAGAAACATCAGCTACGCACTCGTGCTGGTTGAAGTGCGCACGCCTGCATGCAGCGCCGCAGTAAAATACCCGGCAGGCCGTGCACTGGTAGCCCCACTTGTCGCACGGGACTGCCGCATGGCATGCGACGCACGCCTGGTCCCCGCGGGACCGCCAACGACGGAAAGCCCTCTCTGCGCCTTCGACGGCGTCCCTCTGCAGCGATTCCTCGGGAGCGGCGCCGGCCACCCCAGCGACTAGAGCCTCGCCTCCTCCTGTTCCTGGGGACCCTGGGGCGCACGATGCCCCTCGACAGGCGTGCCAGGCAAACTGCCCGGCGGCGACCCGAAAAGCGCGTCGGTCTCCAGGGACTCGGTGGGCGCCTCCTCCGCCGGTGGAGCCGCGGGCAGGGCGGCGGCGCCGGGCGCGGCCACAGCACAGGCCCTGCATACCGCTGCGGCGCACGGCGTGCAGGTTAGCGCCCACCCTCCTCTGCCCCAGCCGCCTCCGCAACTGTCGCAATGGCTACCTCGGAGTGGCCGCGCCCGCGCCAAGGCGCCGCGGCAGCCGGGGCACGCAGGCAGCCTGGCCCGGCCTGGCGATGCCGGCGCAACGGCATGGACGGCAGCAGGCACTGCACTGCCCTCCTCCTCCTCCGCCGCCGCTTCCTCCTCAACCTCGTCCACCTGGCTGGCGTGCGGCACCGCTCTGATCTCCTCCTCCTCATCCGCCTCCTCCCCCCGAAGTGGCGACGCGCCGGCGTCCACCCGGCTAGCGTGCAAAACCGCGCGTGCACGAACTGCCTGGGCCCCAGCTGCCTCCTGTCCCCGCCGCGTGGCCGAAGGGCTGCCGCCTCCTCCTACTCCTGCCTCCCGCTCTCCTCCTCCGTGCCGCTGCTCCACCAGCTGCTCGAGGTGCCGGACGCGCACTTCAAGGTCCCAGCGGAACTTCTGCAGCTCCGGCCTGGGCATCGGCGGGGTCGCGGGTGCGACCTCCAAACGGCTCTCCCGCGGCCACGGTGCCTCCGGCGGCGTCGCGAAGCCGTCGGACGACGGCCTGGGCTGGTCCGCCGCGTGCGCGTCGATGAAGGCACGCACCAGCTCGGTGAAGTCGAGCGGGTCGGATCCGGGCCCCGGGTTCGGTTCCACGCCCTCTTCCGTGAGGTCGCGGACCCAACCGCCCAACCGCTGCCTCGACACACCGTCAATTGCGACGAGGGCCGCGGTGTGCCAGGCGCCACTGCAC